AAAAAAAAAAAAAATCTGTCATTCACTAAAATGAACCTAATTATAGCGGTTTGTTAACCCTGCTCAGAATGTGACTACCCCCCTTGGCTTTTGCTTTTTCAGGTATCTGTTTTCTCTTCTTCTATTGTTCTTTTGTTCGTTTGATGGTTTACTATGATTCTTTTTTCCTTGTAGCCTCTTTTATTTTTTTAATCGTTTATAGTGAATAGTGTGAGGATAAAGTTTTGATTTTTTATTTCAAATTCTGTTCTTTATCAGCTTTTGAGGTGATTGTGGGTCTGATAATAATTAAATTTGGAAAAAAAAGAAAGTGAAGTATTTGGGTGGAATAATCTTCACAATGGAGGACTCTAAACCTCCAGAAACCCTAGGAGCTCAAAACCCAGATGCTAAAACCCTTATGCAACCTTCTGGGTCCTCTGGCATAGCATCCAGTTTGGTGTTTCAGGTTCAAGAGAACCGTAAAGGGGTGGGTGTAGGCAGTAATAATGTTGAAGGTGTCAATGTCATTGAGGGGGAAGGTTCGGCCAAGAATGTGAATGCAGGGCCTGGCATTGAAGAACGTGCCTTGCAAACAGCTTCAAATGGGAGGTTAGTGGGGTTGGGGAATGGTTCAGATGAAGAAAATGTCCTGGAGAAGACTGTCAGAGAGCGGGGAATGAAGGAGGATGATGATGTGTCAGGTTCAAATGGAGTTGATTCAGTTAGGAAGTTTGAAATTTCTGGAGACCACATATCATTTTATGTGGATTTTTCTGAAGTAAGTAAAGGGAACTCTGATGGTGCCAATGCTTCTGGGTTAATGGTGAGCGAGGAAGAGCCAGGCAGACCTGGAGTCATGCAAGAGCTAGGGGTCATCTATGGTAAAAAATTCAAGCTCTTGGTGGGTGATATTGTATGGATCCAAACCAAAAATCTGAGTTGGTGGCCAGGAAGAATTGTTGGTCCTCTATTTGCACCAGATCATGTTCTGAAGGGTGAACAGAGGAACTGCCTACTGGTTGGGTATTTTGGGGATAGCCATGTCGCTTGGTGCCACCCATCTCAATTAAGGCCTTTTCATCTTAACTTTGAACAGATGTCTGGGCAAAATAAAGCTAGAAGCTTTCTTTCTGCGGTAGAGAGGGCTGTCTATGAGTTTGGTAGGTGTGTGAAACTTGAGATGACTTGTTCTTGTATTCTGAAAGAAAATCAGCACTCAGCTGGTAAGCCTGGAGAGATGCAAGGAGCGGCGATTCCAAAGTGCAAATCTAGTCAACTTGGGGGGTTTTCTGTTGTTAAATTTGAACCTGCAGAATTTATTTCACAACTCAAAAATCTTGCAGTGGAAATTTCAAAGCCTGGCTTGCTTGAATCTACCGTTGCACTGTCTCGTTTGTCAGCCTTCTATCGTTTTGTAGGGCATCTCCAGTTGCCATTGCACACACTCTGGGAAGTAAATGGTGGTGAAGAGGGTACTGCAACTAGGTTGAATGTAAGTGAGGGTGAAATTTTACAGCCAAATCTGAATAAAGATTTAGCTATGATCTCAGGAGTGAATGTGAATGTTATGTCAGAAGACAATGGAGACATTATTTCCGGAGAAAGGATTGTCTTAGGGAAACTGTCATCGAGTTCCAAGATGCAAAAGAGGAAAAATGATACTGAAATGGGAAGCAGCATCTGTATTGAAGGCCTTGATCATGGTATATTGCCTTCTTTGGCTGAAAAAGAAGAAGTCAGTCTCCTGCCATCTTCAAGTATGACAGAAGGAATTGTTTCTACTAAAGGAAATGGTGATGGAGAGAGCATAATTAATGGTGAGTTGGGTCTTGAATTTAGAGAAAGAAGGAAGAGCAAATACTTGTCATATCCCTATGTAAACTGGAAGATTAAAAACTTGCCAAGTGAAACAGAAGCTGATCAGTCTAATGTGTCTACTCCACCAGTTAAAAGTGTTATCAAGAGGTTCCAGAAGAAATGGTATAAGAGATTCGTTAGTGGGAATGATATGTCAGCTAATCCACAGATGATCAATGCTTCTTCTGCTGAACTGCTTTCCGAACTCCTTTCTACAGCTGTGGATTGCTTCTATCCAGTTGAAAGTAAAAGCTTTGGTTTGACAGAGTGGTTCTTTTCCCGATTCAGAATTTCAGTGTATCACGGAGAGTCTATGTATGAGACTTATTGCAAGAATATGGTAGGTCAGAAGGAGGCTACTGCTGTTCATCCTAGCTTGTCAGGTAATAATCCCCATAATGATAAGCCTACTTCACCCCATACTAGGTCTGAGCTGAATAAGGGAACTCCCAATTCTAATCCTGAGAGTAAGACACCAAAGAGAAAGAGGCGTTCGGAGTCAGAAACACCAAAGATGAAGTCTCTCTCTGGCCTATCAGATGTTAGTATAGCCATCAACAAGTGCAACTTATCAGGAAAAGATTTCCAGGTGATGACTCCTTTGACACTTGATGGGGAACCAACTTCAGCATGTCTGCAGACTAAACAGACTACTAATATACCAGATTTAAATGGGAGTGGTGCTATTCCCATTTCGGTTGGAGAAGATTCACAAGTTTTGAACCGATTAGCATCTGAGTCAAAGAAGAGAAAGAGGAAAGGAGCTGCCTTAGAACATTCATTGACCATGCCATTGCCAACTACAGGCTTGCCTGTTAATGGGAACTATGCCAGTTTCAGCTCTTTGATGTTAAGTTTCGAGGCGGCAGGTCCTTATTCCATCAGAACAGTTCCTGAGCAAAATGGCAAGGAAGGACTTACTGCTGGTCAACCAGATTCTGCTGGCCAACCAGATTCTGCTGGGAACTCTGGTCCTGTGGCACCAGACATTTTTTCACTCACAGCTGAAAGTAAGCCTGTTAAGAGAAATAGAAAAAGAAAGGCAAAGGCAACGCCAGATCAGCTTAACCATTTGCCTGATCGTGAAATTCCAGATTTAAATGGAACTAGCACTGAACCAAGTGCATCTGGAAAGGATTGTCAGGAGACAAATAGCCTTTTACCTTCAGACAAACCAGAAGAAAAGAAGAAGAGGAGGAAAAGACAAACTAGGTTAGGAATAACACTTAGTGTAAATTATGATAGTGGGAGCACTCTTCTCTTGACATTTGCTCCTGGAGCTTCCATGCCTTCAAAAGAAGTTGTGGTTGCAACATTTTCTAAATTTGGCCCCTTGAAGGAGTTAGAGACACAAGTGTTGGAAGACTCTGGTAGCGCCCAGGTAGTTTTCATGAGAACTGCAGATGGAGGAGAAGCAGCTCGGAGTTTAGATGATAGCAATCCCTTTGGTGCAACCCTCATCAATCACCAGCTGCAAATTCACCCAAGTCTGCCCCCAGCCAAGCCTTCTGTCATTCCACTGCTTCAGCCTCACCATAGCGAGGCACCTTCACTAGACTACATCAAGAAGAATCTGGAGATGATGACATCAATGCTGGAGAAGTCAGGCGATAATCTTTCTCCAGAGATGAGAGCCAAATTGGAGATGGAGATTAAAGGCCTCCTTAGTAAGGTCAGCTCAAAGCCGGGTTCTTCCTCTTCCTAAGTATAACTGTAATATATGGAGTTGTTGATTTAGCTTGTCTTGAGTTCTCTTTATCAGCTATTTCTTTTGTAAGCTGCTCTCTTTACTCTCTTTTTGTGCAACTGAATAACTTTCGCAGTTTTTTGTATTTAGAGAGCAGAAGCAGTGACATTGATTTGGAGAACTATATGTATTAACTTCATATTTTCATTTCTCTCTTTTGTTAATTGGATAAACATGAAGTAACCACACACACTAAATATTTCATCAATATATCATAAAAATAACTCAACTAATCTAATTGGTGAACCAAATTAGAATTAAAAGTTTCAGCTTTAATCTCTACTTGGGAAACATGTCTGGAGCTTAAGCTTCATGTATATTTGAAATTGAAAAAACTTTTTTTTTTTTAAATCAAGAGTTTGACTTTGACCTAGCTTCAGTTGTGTTGCTTAAAAATTTTATATAAGTTAGGCCAAAGTGACCCACTAATGAGAAGTTAATTGCTACGATTGATTATTAATATTTTCCCTATTTTAGAACACGGTACACATAGACCCTCATTTCCCATCCAGATGCAGTTGCAGATTTTTAGGCTCCATAACAGTCAAGCACAAAACTTTCTGGTATGATTCTCTTCGTTCTTTCTGAATTTCACTTTCCGGTAAGAAATACTTGGTCCATCATGTTGATCTTATTTTCTCTGGTATGATTCTCTCTCTTTTATTGTTTTGTGTGCTTAATTCTTTCACAATTTGCTTTTGTATGATATGATGATCTTGCTCTGTGTTATTTATATTCATTTCATATTTTTTATGGCAAAGACAGTCTTTTTAGGATCATTTCAGTTTTTTGAGTTTTTCCCTTAAAAAAATTTTATCTTTTAGGTTGTGTTTGGATGAAGTGACATTTTAGAAGAGATTTATTGGAGGAAACAACTTTAAAATCCTTTTCCCAGATTAATGTGCAAGTAATTTTCTTGTTTCTCTTGGATCAAGAACAGAAAGATTTTTCCCTTTTTTTCAGTTGAAATTTGATAGAATAGAACTACTCAATATGCCCTCCTTTTGGCCAAACATTAAAAGGACTTTAGTTTCATTTTTGGGATTCTGATAGTAAACTATTAAATGAAACCATGAAAGCTTGACTATAGTCATAATCTTTCTGTTTGCACTGGATTAGGGATAAATATGTCAACCTTGAGACTTCCTACATCATGCTTAGTCAAGAATTCATCCCCAGGCAGGACTTTACTTGCTAGTAGTAGTAGATCATGTTTTTTAACTAAGACTAGGAGCTCTTCATCCCTGGGTTTAGTGAAGGGTGATTCTAAGGCATTTGTCTTCAAGTCTACCCCATTTAGAGTATCTGCAATGGCAGTTTACAAAGTGAAGTTGATTGGACCAGATGGTGAAGAAAATGAGTTTGATGCCCCAGATGATGTCTATGTTCTTGACTCGGCTGAAAATGCAGGTCTAGAGCTCCCGTACTCCTGCAGGGCTGGTGCCTGCTCTACTTGTGCAGGGCAAATGGTTTCAGGATCAGTTGATCAGTCTGATGGGTCATTCCTAGATGAGAAGCAAATAGAGAAGGGTTATGTCCTGACCTGCATCGCATACCCCAAGTCAGATTGTGCGATCCACACCCACAAGGAAGGTGATCTTTACTGAATCTTGGTTTGGCTCTGTGGGTAGAGAAAGGGCCCATACTTGTGCCATCATGTTAAGACCATTTAGGGCCAGACATCCTGATTTAGTATTAGGTGTTCGGATATCAATGCATAATATCTTTTACATTTGCTAAGTTTTGCTTGGGTACAATTGAGTAAAATTGTACAAGAATATAAGTATCATCAGGTGCCTCAAACTCATTCTCTTCCCCATTCGGTCCAATCAACTTCAAATTGTAAACTGCCATTGCAGATGCCTTGAAGTGGGTAGATTTCAAGCCAAATCCTCTCGGAACACCCTTCATATACCCCAGAGACGATGATTTCTTGGTTAAGAAACTGGATTTTCCGAGTGCCGAAGCCTGGGCCAAGCAACTTGTAGGGAGCGTCATTACAGCACCTAGTCCAGAGCAACAGAGAAAAGTGATTGAAGCCCACGATGTCAAACATTATTACTAAGTAAATGATAAATTACCAAGTGCAAGATCAAACGACATCAAACATTATTGAGCAAGAGTTCTTACAGAGGAATGGAGATGATTCAAACCCAATATGTCTGGAATTTCCAGAAAGCGCTGAAAGAAATTGCCTGAAACTGAGTAAAACGGGTGCATAGATAGACAAACATTTTAAGAGATTTAAATCTCCGTGTGTGTGTACGTTTTGGGCCACTAATAACTAGTGCAGTCATCATCATATGCACAATCACCTAAAAAAGTATCTAGTACAGTTTTGTTGGCACGTGGCGGTTTTTTTTTTTTTAATCTTTTTTTTTTAACATGCTTTTAAATTTTTTTTTATTTGAACATTGAGACAAAATTTAAATTCTATGTAGAAATTCTTTATAAGGATGATATAGTCATTAAATCACAACTACGTTCTTTTGTTTCGTTTTCTTGTTTGTTTACATACTAGAATATGAAAGACATAGTAATTCACAAAGAACAATCTAAACAAATTTAGAACTCAAAAGTACTAAAGTTTGAATTTTTGCATAATGCACCACTTCCCAATTAGATATACCAAAAACGTCACGACGGGGAAAGTACAAATATACTTTAATATCCAATTGCTAATAAGTGGAAAAGTCAATTTTTTTAGTTGTTAGATGTAGGAATTTTCCACTTATGTTACATGTGTTTTGTAAATCAATTGGTAGCCATCCAGTTGACTGAAATTAGTTAAAGCTTTTCTCTATCAACAGAGATTGTAACGGAGACGGGGTGTTTTTCAGGACAAATTTTCTCAAACACAGGCAACCTCTTCCTTGGATTTCTGAGATCACATCCTGTACTTGTATCAATTCCATCATCTTCAGGTTCCCAGTCCTTCTTCCTGTTGTTAACTGCCTCAATTTTAGCCTTAGAAAATTGCTTCTTCCCAGACTCCACTGCTGCCCTGCTTCCAGATTTGGCTGCATCGGAGGAATCGGATGCCATCCCGGCACCCTTGCCCTTCCCCTTGCCAATCTGCTCATGAGCTTTGCTAGCAAACTGTAAGGGGCTCGACTTGAAGGTATGATTATAGTTGTTGCTGCTACGAGACCAGTCCATGGAATCCCTGCACCGGTTCAAGAATGAAACAGGAACAGAGAGAATTCGAATTAAATGCTATCTATGAACACTCCACTATTCCGGAAACATTATTGTTACAGATATTAAGGGAATTACAAAATCAATTATGATCGATATAATTAAATGTAATTATGAAAATATATATTAAGTATGATATTATATTATTATGGTAAATTAATTTAGATATTATAAAATCATAAAGTTTTAGATTTTCAACTATTTTTCTTAGAGGTTTCGTGCTTTGAAAGCAATTACACAAGACTTTTTTAAAATAATAAATTTCAACTGTGGTAATATGATTCAAAAACCCAAAAAAAAAAAAAAAAAAGCTGAATAAGTTGAGCCAGATTTGGAGCGGTGAAAAAACCTGATAACCGGAAAAGCTCTAGATTTCTGTCTGCTCCGGACAAATCTCCTCAACTCCGGCGAGGGTAGAGGGCAGAGGATGAAGCAAATCAGAGAGTAGAGACGCAATAAAAAAAAGCAGAGCCTTTTTTTTTTTTTTTTTACCACCTCGCGAGCTCTGCTTCCCTTTTATATACGCGACGGCGTAGAAAGAAACTTGTGGACCAAGACCAACCAAACGTGGTCTTGCCAAAAAAGCAAAATTAAAATCGACTTTTTTTTTTTTTTTTGGGGGTCCTTTTCGGCTTCAAAGATCCGAATCCGACTCGATTTATAATTATAGATTTGAAGGTTTTGGGTTGGGTCACAATTCATGGTCATGGACCTGTAATCGTTGCAGAAGAGTAAGTATTATTGTTTTTATTATTAACTTTTGGATATCTAGTAATTATATTGAAATCGATTAATTTAAAATCAAATCATGTCGAATCTTATTAAGAAAAATTTTTCGATGTCTGGTAATTACATTGATTTTGATTAATTTAAAATCAAACCGCGTTAAATCTTATTAAGAAAAAGTTCTCCCAATATTTATTTCTCTTTTCATAAAACTCAAATTTAAGATCTCACTTAAAGAAACTAAGTCCATTCCATTCAAAACTAGTGGGTAGGTGTTGTATATTTTAATATTTAATAATTATATTTTAAAAAATTATTTATTTTAAAATTATTCAGTTAAATAAATTATTATTTAAGATTAAATTAATTAATAATTTAGTATATAATGAACAAAAAAAATATTTGAAATTTTTATTAAATTATTTAGGAATTCTATTAATTTATAAGATGACTTTTGTATTCTTTTCTAAAAAGTAAGGATAGATAATTTATCAAACACATCAGTTACAAAAAAAGTTATGTAAATATCTATAAAAAGTAGTG